TCCTGAGAATCTTTTTCCCTTACAAACAAAAAAAAAAAAAAAAGAAAAGTAATAATATTAACCTACTGTGTGTCGATATGTATTTCGAGATCATCTCCAATTTTTGATGTCCTTGTTTCCTTCGAGAGAAAAAAAAACAAAAGAAAGAAAAAAAAAAAGAAAGAAAAATTCAATAACGCCGAAGATGCGCCGCCCTGTGCCCTTGAAATTAGTTGAAACCGATCCTGTCTTTGTTGCAGATGGACATGAAGTCTGTTGGGTCGTTCTACTACGAGAACTTTGTAAGTGAAGAACTAAGCAATGCAATCATAACGCGCGTTCACGACGTTGTCTTTTATTTTGTTTTTTTCTATTAATAATAATATTAATTATAATACGTAATATAATATATATTAAACAAATTTGAAATATCGATTGATTTTATTCGCGAGAATATTTGATATAAATATAATCGTCTCGTTGTGTGTATCGATTGGCAAATATATTTTCCCTCGCGTCTTTTATCGTTGACAATGTAAAAAAAGGTCTATTCGATGTACGTGGCAAGGCGCGAGAAGATAAAATGAAAAAAAAGTTGAAGATTCAAAAAGTACCCTGCCGCTCCTGAATGGGAAAAAAAAGGAAAGCAGACAAGTTCTTCCTTCGCAGAGGAAAAAGAAGCGCAAGGACGTTTAAAAAAGATATCTAACTAAACGCGGAGCCTGTGTTGGGTTCGGTGAAGACGCGGACGATCTCTCGACGGAAGCTTCCAACCTTCGAGAGGACGTCGGGTTCGTACGAGTATCAAATAATACTAATCGTTATTTTGTTTTTTAATTTGTTTTTCAGGCCTTCCCAGGAATGGTTCCGTATAAACGACCGGCGGCCGACAAGTCTGGTATGCCGGTCTATCAGCCGACCGGTGCGACGACCTTAATGCAGTTGCAGCAGCCCTTCGTGCCTGTGTCATGTGAGTACACTGGAACACCACCCCTACCTACCCAAACCTCTAACCATTCGGTCATGCAACCCCCGAACGTGCAAAGCAACCACCACCACCACCACCACCACGCGGTGGTGCAGTCCTCCTCTTCCTCCCAGGGAACCGGCGGCGTCTCTGTCGGTAACTGCGCCGACGCCAACAATAGCGTCCTCATGGATCCGTGCAACAATCCGCCGCCGCCGCCGCCGACAACCGGCGACAATAACAGTAGCGTTAGTAATGCCGGTAACAAACAGACCCTCGTTAATGCCCAGAATCATGACGGCGAAAATGCGCGTAACTCCCCCGAATTGAATCACTCGAGTCCGGCGATTCAACAGCAAGCTCAGCAACAAGCTCAACAGCAAGCTCAGCAACAAGCTCAGCAACAAGCTCAACAACAAGCGCAACATCAACACCAACAACAACAGCAACAACAACAGCAACAACAACAACAGCAGCAGCAGCAACAGCAACAACAACAACAGCAACAGGCTCAGCAGCAAGCGGCGCAGCAACAAGCTGTTGCTCAAGCTCAACAAGCTGCTCAACAGCAGGCACATCAACAGCACCAACAGCAACAACATGCTCAACAACACGCTCAACAACAACTCCAACAACATCATCAGCAGCAAATGAATCAATTGGCTTTATCGGCCGTACCGCCGTCCATGAGCCCATTGACATCAATGGCTGGATTGACATCAATGCCAGGTGTCGTCAACATGGCTTCGATGGCCAATATGGTCAGCATGGCAAACGCTTCGTCTATGACTAACCTATCTTCCATGAGCAATTACTCGGTTGCGAATATGGCGAATTTAAACATGTTGAATACGCTCGGCATGTCCGGATTACCGACGCATCTCGACGCTGCTGCTTTGGCCAAGGAGGTGGCTCAGAAGAATTACGCGAAAGCAATCAAATTGTCGCAGGCGTCGCAGTCTTATGGTATTAGTCAACTGACGGCACTTAATTATACCGGGGTAGCATTGAACAAGCAAACCTTGGTGAATCCAGCGAGTGCCGCAGCCGCTGCAGCTGCGGCTGGACCTGGATCTGCTTTACAAGCTAGCGCTTTGTCCGGAAGTACTGGGACACAGAGATCAGTGATCCCTGGACTGGCCGGTATCCCCGGTGCGCTGACGTCGCCTCTTTCAGCTGGCATACTAGCATATTCGAGACCTCAACCAACCGCCACACCTATTAATCCGTACTCCCTGATCAGACAACAGATCCTACCGAGCCATTACGTCCAAGCATCGATACCCGGTGTCCCTGGAGCGACCGCAGCTGCTGTTCAGGCATCTCCCTACGTCCAGAATCCGTACGCCGTTTTACCAGGTATGGCTGGTGTACCTGCTGGCGTAGCAGCCGCGGCAGGTGTACCAACCGTACCTCAGATACCGCAAATCCCCAATCCCGCGACGATAGCGGCGCAACCGCAGGTCGCCATACCGGTCAGCTCCGGTGTGATCATGCAACCCTATAAGAAGATGAAGACTTCGTAAATAGCGCCGCTTTTAAAGCTCCTTGGCTTGTCTCCGTAGCAAAAGGTCTGTCATGCTCTTTTCTGACCCAATTTCTTCTCTCTCTCTCTCTCTCTCTCTTTCTTTTACTCTCAATCTTTCTTGTTTGTATCTCATTGATTCTTTTAAAAATTTCGAAAAAATTTCTTCCTCTATAGTAATTCACTCTCAAGCGTTACGTAAAAGTGCAATTTTTCGATTAATTTTAATAAACAAGACGAACAACCACGTCTAAACTAACTGGATCGTTAATCAATCTTTCTATCGTCAAAAAATTGTTAACAATTTATGTCATTTTTGTCGTGAAAGCAATGATAAGAAAACAAGGTAAAGAGAGAGAGAAAGAGAGAAAGAGAGAGAGAGAAAGAGAGTGAATATTTCGGTCGAGCGAACGCGAAACTTCGGGAGAAATGAGATAAGATGAGATGAAACGAGACACGCCATACAATGAAAAAAAAGTTCCGAAAATAGATTCATTTTCTAGTCAGACATTGTCGGTGAACAGTGCCTTATTGATCCGATTCCTCGTTTGAGCGTTTTTTTTAAAACGTAAGACGAATAGAAATGAGATAGAGAAAAAAAAAAAGAAGAAAAAAAAAAAAAAGAGAACGACGAGAATCGCACGACGATACTCCTGCGTTTAATTTGTGTGCGCGTGTGTGTTACGTTGTCGGGTTGGTGAATTTAATTAGTTGATGATCCGCGTGATCGGTAATTAATTATGGCTGCGCGCGCGCGCGCGCGCACGGCTTAGGTTTTTGTCGTTCCGATATCGTGTTTCTACCTAAATCCAATATCTGCCGGACGACTTGCCGCGATCCTTTGGATTCGTCCAACGAAAAATTACGAGAAGAAAACAAAAACAAAAAAAAATATGAAAAGAGAGAAAAAAAAAATATTTAAAAGAAAAAGGGAAGAAAAAAAATGTAATTAAAAAATATGCTTGCGAGAGACAAACGGATTCTTGGAATGGACCGAAGTTTACGCCCAATAATCGTGATTTACATATTATCTATTATATTATTGCGTACTTTATTTTTTATTTTTATTTTTATTTTATTATAACTAATAATCTTGTTTGTTTGTTTATTCTATTTTGTTCCTTCGTGTTTTTTTCTTTTACTATTATTATTATTATTATAATATTAATAATAATATTAATGTTAGAGGCAGTGAAGTATTAAAAAATTGTGAATACTTCATTATTAAAATATTTCGCGTTTATTAATTATTTTATTACAGAGACATTATCTATGTTACGTCATCGTTTTACGATTCCTCGTTCTGTTTTTATAGATTAATAATGATTAATAGCGTCAGGGAGTTCTTGTGGACACGTCTTATGTATACCCTGGGGGAAGAGTAACTGGGATATCATAGGAAAAGAAAAAAATGAAAAAGAAAGAAAGAAAGAGAAAGGAAAAAAGACCCGAATAGTGTAGAAAAAATCTCGTCAAAACGTGTTCGATTGTTGCAATATTTTTATTTTGGAATTATTATTATTTTTTTTAT